ATTTGTAATTTTGTGCACTTTAGGAATGGCATGTACCATAAAGTCTAATACTGGCAAACACTTGATCTGTGTTCTGTATTTATTCTTTAGAAAAACTTTGATATGTACTTGCAATAAACCCAGTATGCTGTGTAGTCTGACATGACAGTGTGAAAATGCAGACACGATGGCATGATAGTGGAAAGTTCCAGTCTTTATACACTTGCCTTCCAGTCAATGTATTGTTATTCATTACAATACACAACATACCAGGTCTATGAGATGATCATAGTGATGACACCCCCCTAACCTTGTAGCATTACTGGCAAGGTGCCAACATAACCATCCAAATTGTCTGCACAATGTTTACTTTAATTTGCTTGTTGATAAACAAACCTGTAACCCTTGTTCCATAATAGCAACAGCTATATATTCTAAGTAAAAGAGGTCAACTACAAGTTCACATTATTAGTTTACGTTTTTGTGATACTGAACTTCAGCATGAGTACATTTCTCAAATAATGACTGCCTGTCTCGTCTTATTTCAGAGGTTAGCTTTTACATTTCACAAACTTTACATATGTTATTTCTGTAATATTTCTTTAACTGAAAACAAAACTTCTGCAAAGCAAGTATATCCGAGTCCTAAGTAGTGACAGCCAATTAAACAATGCATAATTGTTAGATTATCTTCTAATCCTGACAATTCCTGTTAAAACCAAGGATAGATTGATTGATGAGATGACTGCTCTTTTCAGGTTGTTCTTAATTGAGAAGATTTACAAGGACAACAAGCAATTAACATGAACTCTGCAATCAAGGGACTTTTGCTATATGTTTTTTTTTAAATAAATCATAGCCTTTACTTAGAAATATTTCTAATGTCTGAGAATAAAAAATTTATCAAACTTTCATTGTATATTATGCAAAAAATGTGAATTCAGGCAAAGAACTGAAATGTAAGCGGCTTTCAATTGAAACCCTATACATGTATGCAACAAAAATTCATTTACGATTAAAGCACAGTTTTGATGCAACATTCTGCACATTTTTAAATTGTTTTCTATAAATCAAATACCTCTCAAAAATAGAACTTTCACTCTGAATATTGTGAGATGTTATTTCTTATACATTTGTGTAGTATCATTTTTTTTATTTAATTATATTTTCATAATAATAACTAGTAAAAATATTAATCAGACAGACTGAAGTTTTATAATTCTGTGCAAAGAAGTCAATGTATCAGGCAACAATTTTTAAAAATTATTTTATTTATGAATGCATTTATTGTTAAATGTCACAATATAGTATAGGGGTAGGTTGATAACATAGTGATCACCAAAGCTAAATTATATATCGTAGTATATAATTGACAACTTTTGTCAGAACGTGTTCGGGTCACGCACCCGCACCGGGCATGACCCGTCGTTTCCCACAAGTAGGAGTGGCACGATAACTTATATATGTACACACAATGATAATTATTCCAGTCAATTTCACTGGGTGACCATTGTCACGGTCAAGGATTCTGATCGTCACAGGAAAGGGCGTGGACCAGGGACCAATAAGGATGATATAGATGTCCACATGTCCTCACGAAGTTTGTTTACATTAAAAAAAGCTCAAGACACCAAACCCAAATAAAAACTTACCTAAAACAAAGTTCACTGTCACACATATTAATACAACAACTACCGCGGAGTTCCGTATGGTGACATTCATTCTCTGACTCGAAATTCAACAACGAAAATGTCTCCATACGCGGTGAGTTGCTGGAGCTGGACGGAGTGATTCACATTCCACACAATATCCTAAAGCGATGAGATTTATGGCTGAACTAGCAACGGAGATCCGTGACTCAAAACAGCTATAACACGTGTTCAATGTTATTCCACCAACACATAAACATCCACAGGAAGTGACAGCTTGTACGATCGGAGAAACAAAACATCTACAACGGTAGAAAAATTAAACTTGAAAATTAGGATACGTGTACGATGCTTAAACGCAAGTATAGGCCACAGTGTTGAGGGTCTGTGTACAGGCCAAGACGCCACACAAGCATGAACCGGTCGCCAACAAACTAATTTGAATGTGAATGGCCTCGATCCGATTCACTGGTAATAATCAGTAATGTACATGCTATGTAAAGGTAGCCGTGCCTACGTATGGTGGCGGGAAATTAATACAATAAAACAACGGTTATGAATGGATACAAAATTGAATATATACCAGAAAAATCACAATCCGCGCGCCAGCACCGATCCCAGAAGCACTTGCGACGACCGGCAATATTACAAATATGGGAAAGTGAGAAAAGCGTTTCTTGGATAATAAACAAAATCTAAAGTAGGGTCGGTATACTTAGTTAGTCGCCAGTACATTCGCCAGCCCACTCACATAAAATAATAGTGTGTTTCTATCATAGTGTTTTTATTACTTTTGTAACGTTCATTCCGTTAAAGGCGTTTGATCATATGACGTAACAGATAATCTTGATTATTTCGAGGAGTGACTAAATAGGTCTAGGTTCAAGTCAATATTCGAATATATGAAATGAGACCGTGTATAAATCGGGTGCCAACTATTTAGAACTATATAGCAGCTAAACTTTGTGAGCATTAGACAAGTTTCCTTTCAGTAAACCTTTATTTTATTTTATTACAGTGGTACATGATTCTAGGCTGCCAAAGTCGGGACGTTTTTTTATTTTTTCTGAAATAACTAATTTGTTAGCATGACTGAGATTTACCACTATTTAAGAGGAAAAGTTGAAAAAACATCTATTTTAGCTTATGAAGCAGAACCAAATTCTACAACAACCCATGTCTGTTAGGAGCATTTTTTTACGCATGTCGCTTCGTATATTAAATATAACCGGTTTAACCCAACAGATATCCGTATCAGTATATGTGCTTATTCTAGCTTTTATATTCTGCCTATAGACACGGGCACAGTTAGGGGCAATGTGCATGTATAATTATTTATTATGGTAATTTTAGAATCGACTGGGCGATCTAAATATCATAATTTATTAGTTAGAATCTATTAGAAAGATATCGAACCGTGTCTTAGTAGTGCAGGGCACAATAAAAAGTGTTTCCTAGACATCCAAAATCCAGTGCCCTATTACAAAGGATATAATTTTAACAATAATCTAATCGATGTGTGGATATTCACTCCGTCGTATGACATAACCGTTTATTGCGAAATGTGGAACCCAATATGCAGCAGCAATTCAGAACTACGCGATACCTGTGATTTGTGAAATTAAACAGAACATTTCCTCTCATCACCAGACGATGGTACAGCTCTGCCATATTCTTAAACAATATAAGGAGTATTTCGACAGAGGTTTTTGCATTTATTAATTATATTTCAGGTAAACTCTGATCTGATAGCGCCATCAGAGTTGTAAAGAGAAATCAAACAACATTTCTAACAAATTACACATTTAACATGTCACGACAACATTTTTGCTACCATCATTCATTTCAAACACTACTGTATGAACCAGTATAAAGGATAGACACTGAATAGATGATTTTATATAATGAATTTTAATGTGCAGTTGTCATGGCAACAATGGATGGAAATGAACAGGCTATTTTTAAGCTATAAATTATGGACTTTATGTATTGAGACATCAAAAAATTGACTGCAATTATAAAAAAAAATATTAAAATTTTACACATTGACATGATTGTTATGGTAACGAAAGGGCACATAGATTTCTAATTTATACCATTACACAGGTCCAAGACCTGATTCTACCTACCTAAGTGGTAATAGTAAAACATTTGTTCTGTGCAGTGGATTCCTCCAGATGTTTACCTTCTTTTTGATAACCAATAAACAAGTACTTATACTAGTTTCATTTGCCAGAAATTCTGATTTTTATTTTTCAGTGATTTGTTGGATATAAATAGATTCTGAAAGTGTGGACACATTTTCACACCAAGACACAAATAAGAGACCCCATTACATGGCTTCTCACTGGCAGTAACCATACACTATCCACCCTAAGATGAAAAAGAAGTATTTCATAATTTCAATTACTTAATTGTTTTTATTTGATATAAGTCACCATCTTGAAAATATACAAAATTTGTTGAGATTAGTTATCACCTGACATTGTATCACCTATTTATTGTAAATTACTTGTAATGATTTATCAATTTTAGAAGTTGTAAATTTCGTGACTAACCAACTGAGATAACTACTGGGGCATGTGAAGTTTTATCCTTTGTTGTTTGATGCCATTCATCACTCCATTTATCGTATATGAAACTGATCAGATCAGATATCTACATTCAGTCAGTCATAATGGTTTTATTAAAAAACAAATAAATACATCAATAGCAACCAGCATAGTGTGTAAACCTTCATGAATGAATAAAAGAAAGACCTGGGAATTCACATTGCATAGAAATGCACCAATGAGTGTACAGATGTCATATTTTCAGGGAACCAATGAAATACATTGTACCAAAACAGACGTGGAGCAACCCTACATGGCAACAGACAAATTGTTATCAAGGTTTCAACAACCTTACAAAGAACAGGCCAGTGAAGATGACTAAAATGAATTATTTATTTATAAAATATCGTGCTGTTGTCAGATTGTACTAGCCTTGTATTGCAGCAATTAGTCTTGCTGCATGAGTCAATCTCTGAAATCAAGTACATAAACAGAGGTCTCTGGTGTCAAGTTCAGTCAACTGAATAAGTTGGTTCAAGCATGTATACAACTTTTTAAGACCAAGGTAGTACCAGTATATGCATTAAATTGCATACTTCCATACACACCAATACTCCATTGTCTGTATGGGGCACCCCAGACACAAATCCATATATTTTGAGAAGGTTGCAGAAAGTGCAGATAATGTTACATATACTGGTATATTAAATAATCATTGGAAGACAAAACCTCCACTTAATCTGCCAACCCCTTTAAAGTCCACCATTATGTTTTTAAAGCAACTGTTCAATGTACCAGTAACACTGCCCTCTGGTGTCCATCATTGTTGAATGCCTGATGGTGGATAAGGTGTAGTTTTATGATCATGTCTGTCTATCCTATCGTGTCCTAGTCTGAAATGAAACAGAGTATCATTTATTACTCAATGAAAATGATATGAAACTAAGGTAAAAATGAAAATAACAAGTATTATTAGTGATAACAATATGTTTACTAACTAAAAAGAACGACAAGTCATCCTTTTTTCAACTTCATATGTCTGAATCATCTGAAGATTGAACAACTCTAACTAAATGTTTTTCTGACAAAAAAAATGAAAGCAACAACCTAGAGGTGCTCAGAATGTAAATGAATTTAGTGCTACAAACAATTCATATCTGAATGTCTTTCATATAATTATTGTTGAATATCATTCTTGCATTGAAACAGACAAATACACACTACTAGTATTTATCAAGACCACTCAGTGGTTGTATCAATTTCCCAGGCTACACATGACAATTTTGATTTCTTACCCAAAGCACCGTTTACAGAATAGTTCATTATCACATCCTTGGCATCGTAGTATGGCATCATTGTTACATATAGAACACCATGGCAACTCATCCGGATCAATGGGAATGTCCTGAAAGTAACATACAGTCATCTCTTACCAAGTCAGAAATACTATATAATATTGTGGAGTTTTATAAATTAGTGTGACGCACGGCTGTGAGCAAAATAAAAGTGCAGTGGAGATAATATGACAAACATAAAAGCTAAAACTAGTGTGAACCAATTCATGGTGCAAATAAGGTTACAAATGTCATTATGCACACATGATGCCAAAGGTCAAAACACACATAAGGTCAAATGTTACAAATTCATTACACAAGTGGGTGAAATATTGACAGTTCACCTCATGCACAAGGTCAAAGGTTACCAGTTAACTCCTCATATCTCACACATTTCGTTTATTATGGCTATTCCAGTAGCTCATTCAAAATATTATAATGAATTTATATTCATTGAGAAAACAGTGCACTTAAGGTAGCGAGAAGGTTTTGTGACGTTTTTAAATAAAACATTCTCTGTCTGTTGTCTCGTTCAGAACAGTAATTTAGGTTATATATATCAAAAGACTAAGTATAGAGGTGCAAGTTCGCACAAACTGGACAGACATTGTTTACATAATTATCACGTGACATCAAAAATGACGAACCTTGTAAAAATGACTAAGTCTGCAATTGCGAGAGCACACTGCGGAATTTCCTGGTGAAATTTACGTCATGCATTGTCCGTAATCAAGTCCATTGAAATGCATCTCCGATAATCAAAAGACCTATTATTCTGATTTCTATGCAGGTTTGTTTTTTT